ACCCTGGTGTCCTGAGCACTGCCTTATAGTCCTGAGCGCCCCCTGGCGGTTCTAAGAGCCTCCTGGTGTCCTGAGCGCCCCCTGGTGGTTCTGAGAGTTCCCTGTTCTCTTGAGCTAACCCTGGTATCCTGAGCATTGCCTTATAGCCCTGAGCGCCCCCTGCTGGTTCTGAGAGCCTCCTGGAGTCCTGAGCGCCCCCTGGTGGTTCTGAGAGCCTCCTGGTGGTTCTGAGCGCCCCCTGGTGGTTCTGAGCACTGCCTTATAGCCCTGAGCGCCCCCTGCTGGTTCTGAGAGCCTCCTGGTGTCCTGAGCGCCCCCTGGTGGTTCTGAGCGCCTCCTGGTGGTTCTGAGCGCCCCCTGGTGGTTCTGAGAGCCTCCTGGTGCGCTGAGGGCCCCCTGGTGGTTCTGAGAGCCTCCTGGTGTCTTGTGCGCCCCCTGGTGGTTCTGAGTGTTCCCTGCTATCCTGAGCTAACCCTGGTGTCCTGAGCACTCTCTTGTAGTCCTGAGCGCCCCCTGGTGGTTCTGAGAGCCTCCTGGTGTCCTGAGCGAGCTGTTGTCCTGAGCACCCCTGGTGGTTATGATTGGCCCTTGGTGTCCTGAGCGCCCTGTGATGGTTCTGAGAGTCCCCTGGTGTCCTGAGCACCCGCTGCTGGTTGTCAGTGCCCCCAGTGTAACTTGAGCAGAAGTAATGATTAACCTGCAGAAGTTACTTTGCTATGAGTCCTCCATACCATCTTACCCAGCAGAATAGATTTTCCTTGCTTTCAGCTGCTGGCTCTTTTATTTTAAATATTAATTTATTTACTATTATTTTATTTTACATTCATTTCATCCTGTCATTTCCTGAATATTTGATTAAATATTAAATTAAGTACCTACAATTTTTTTTTTTCTTTTTTTTTTGAGATGGAGTCTCGCTCTGTCGCCCAGGCTGGAGTACAGTGGCCGGATCTCAGCTCACTGCAAGCTCCGCCTCCCGGGTTTACACCATTCTCCTGCCTCAGCCTCCCGAGTAGCTGGGACTGCAGGCACCCACCACCACGCCCAGCTAGTTTTTTTGTACTTTTTAGTAGAGACGGGGTTTCACCCGGTTAGCCAGGATGGTCTCGATCTCCTGACCTCGTGATCTGCCTGTCCCGGCCTCCCAAAGTGCTGGGATTACAGGCTTGAGCCACCGCGCCCGGCCAAGTACCTACAAATTTTAACAATTAATCATTTGTGGAAATAACATAAAATGTGTATGAAGAAGACGCCAAGTAGAGATGCCAGAAAATAAAACAAATAAACAACTTGTGTAAGTTTAGAGCAGAGCATGAGGACAGAAACTCTGAGGTACATGTGCTGAATTATATATGAGGAAGGTCAATTATATTTAACGTCCAGAATGTGAGTCATTTCAGTGAAAATAAATGGTAGAGTGGTCTGCATAGACCAGAAATTAGACAGGAATAAAGTCACAAACTTGCGAGACCAGGAGACATTCAGCATATTCACCCCTTTCCATTTTGCTAGGAGGAGAAAATCGACGGCTATACCTTCGTGGGAAATGAGACAAGCAGTTTTTAAGATGACCATCCAGGGAAGTTGCCAGTACAATCACTCAGGTGATGCTCTGACACAGGATGGTGGAGGGATGTGGTCCTGTGATGGTTGCTGTCAGCGACATGGGATGCTCAACTCTAGTGGGTGCCTTTGCCACTATTTCGTCCATGAGAGACATTAAGCTATGATGTGCTACATGCTGGTGAGTTCCTTAACCTCAGATGAAGAGAGGAACATGACAACACAGAAGATGAATGTGATGGTTAATACTGAGTGTCAGCTTGATTGCACTGAAGGATGCAAAGAATTGTTCCTGGGTGTGTCTGTGAGGGTGTTGCCAAAGAAGATTAACATTTGAGTCAGTGGACCGGGGGAGGCAGACCCAGCCTCAACCTCAGTGGGCACCATTAATCAGTGCCAGCATGGCTAGAATAAAACAGGTAGAAGAAATTGGAAAGATTGGACTTTCTGAGTCTTCTGGCCTTCATCTTTCTCCCATGCTGGATGCTTCCTGCCTTCAAATATTATACTCCAAGTTCTTCAGCTTTTTCACTCTTGGACTGAAGTCAGTGGTTTGCCAGGGGCTCTCCAGCCTTTGGCCACAGACTGAAGGCTGCACTGTCATCTTCCTGACTTTCGAGGTTTTGGGACTCAGGCTGACTTCCTTGCTCCTCAGCTTGCAGGTGGCCTATTATGAGACTTCACCTTGTGATCTTGTGAGTCAATCCTCCTTAATAAACTCCACATCAAATGTATACATCTATCCTGTTAGTTGTGTCTCTCAAGAGAATCCTGACTAATACAATGAGAAACGTGAAGAGCTCATTACAGCAACCACATTTCTTTGATAAGAACTCATCTCACTGAGAGCAGCAGATGTGCAGGAAATAGAGAGGATTTGGGGGATATTGTCCATAAAAGAACAGATGCAACCTAACTGAAGTCCCCATGAAAGGAGGGTGTACATGTTTGTTCACAGCTAATGATGGCTTATGTCAAGACCTCCACAAGGCTTCAGAAATAGTTTGTATTAACAAATGTAATAATTTATATAGTTTTTTCCAGATCTTGTTTTACCTCCCGAGGCAGCAGCACAGAGTGATGTTTTCAGAATCTCCCTAATCTTCTGTGAGCTCCTGGTAGAGTTCCTGGAAGAAAATCCTGCATGTGGAAGTGAGCCCTCCTCATGTGCAGCCCCTGAGGCTGTCATGTCACCTCAAATTTCTGAGTTATGTCATCGACATTTCTGAGTTAAACTTCCTGAAACATATGGCATTTGATAGTGTCTTCCACATTTAAAAAAATACTTAAATTCTGTTTATCCCTGCAGACATCTGTCCCTCTCTGGCATACAGTTTGGTTTTGAGTGTGTAGTAATTGATAATTTATAGAAGATTTTTGTGCATCTTGTGATCTTCCCGAGTGCACCTGCTATGGGGTTGACACCAATGAGCAAGCAGATGGACGCTCTCACCTGTAGTGGGACAGGCATTTCTAGAGCCAGTGACCCCAGTGGAGCTCTCACCCTCCAAGACCAATCGGGCTCATGCCTCTGGCTAATGTGGAGGCACAAGGGGTACCAGTGCCCAC